AATAAGGCACTCCTCTGAAAAAAAAATCATGAATAGTTTTTTGACATAAGGAAGAGCACAGTATAGGTGCACAGCACAAAATTAAACATCCTGCCGAAATTTTGACAGTAATTTATCCCGTACTTCTATTGTTTTGTTATGTATATATATATATATATATATATATATATATATATATATATATATATATATATATATATATATACTCATTATTGAAAATAATAAACCAAAAATAATTGATTGTAAAATTGTAGTTACTTATTATCACTAGCGGATCCAGGATATAATTTTGGGGGAGGAGGGGGCTTCAGCCCGAAAGATTTTTTTTTCATATACATAAACGATAATTAATTTGAAAAAAAAAGAAAGAAATTAACTACCTATGTGAAACGGTGTTTAAGTGGTTCTTGAAATCCTATTAAATGTAATTAAACGAACAAGAATACTATACTATATAGTTTTAAATATTTTTTTCTGTAAAACATGATTATATTTTACTATTTTGGGGGGGGGGGGGAGGCTTCAGCCCGAAAGCCCCCTCGAGATCCGCCTGTGCTTATTATAATTATGTAAATATTGAGGATTTTCTCTTTAAAAACCGAGCATTTCTTCATGATTTATTAGTATAATTTCATATTTTATTTTGCTATGTATCAGACTACTCATAGCAGTCGTAGGCCACCTTTAGAACAAAGAGAATCAACATGTAAAATTGTTACATATGACCTTTTGCGCTAACAGTAGCGATATATATATATATATATATATATATATATATGTATATATGTATTGTGTTTCAATTTTTCAGCAAACCAAGCACCTGAAGGAATTGCTTCGGATTACTGAGATTGTACTGCTACATTCGTTTTTCCGTATTGTATTTAGTGCTAGATGAACAAAACTATTTTCATAACTAAGTGTCAATTAAGTTCAATATTAATTATTCAATCAGAAATAACCTAGCCTAGACCACAGCGAGTCCTGAATAATGTAGAGATGAAATCAATAGTAATAAGACAAGCTAATAGATAACTAACAACTTTGGTATTTGGCTCAGGAATCACCTTAAATACGCTCGTCATTAGTGAATCGCAAAGGGCGGCTTCCTGGAACACAGCCCTTCTCATGCCCTGGCAATTTAAACCAGGCGTCCACTTAATGTTTTATTATTTAATGGACTAATTTTGAGTAAATATTTATTTTATTTCTAGATGGGAAATCTGTTGCATATTATACCGAAGAAATTACACAAACTTTATTTTCATCTAACAAGAGCTAAAGTTTTAATAAGCTCCTTAAAAATTATTGAATAAATAAATGGAAAAACCTGTCAATAGCCATTAGCCATAAAATTATGAATTCATCAAATTTATTGGATTTCTGAAATCCTTATTGAAAAAGAGACAATAAATTTATGTCAGGGTATAAGTTTTAAATTTGTTTTCCTGTAATTATTAGGTGCGAATTGAAATTTTAAAGTGCCAAAAAAGATGTTTTTCAACATTTTTAACTTAATCCTTAAAGATAATATTAGGTGTTTTCTCAAATACCTGATAACTAAAGATATTTCAATTTAAAATTTTTATTTTTTTTATAACTTTATTTTTCAACTCATACCTGTAGGGAATACCAATAACCAGCGAGTATACTGTGGGGAAGAAGAGTATGAAGGAAGACGTTGATAGAAGTGAGGAAAAGGAGTGCCTCGTGGTGTCCCTTCCTAAATTAATTTGCTATTTATAGTCAGTGGAGGAGATCCCTCATCCAGCTTCTTTTGAGCCTCCTATCAGTGCTATCAGGCATGTTGGCTGTGGCCATATTTTAAATGAGTGAGTTGGTATCTCCGTGTAAGTTATTATCAAATCTTTTGTATTTATTATGTTATGTTTGTAAAGTTATGTTATTAACGTTATCTGTAAAGCATAGGTCCAAATGGGCTTAAGTAAGTAAGCGTATGTATTCAATTTTTGACTAAGTTTTAATTTCGAACGTCTTGAAAGAAGTGAATAAAACAATCATAGTCTCAGGTTCAGTGTTTTTGATTTGTTCTTGATATGTGGGCCCCTTGTCATTATTCTATCGAATGTCAGTCCTAGATACTGAACTTAATCTGTCTGAGGAATTTGGACATTGTTGAGGTAAATAGGAGGGCAAGTTTCACGTCAAAGAGTAAAAGTAATCTGTTATGATTAGTCTTGGTTGAGTCGAATTTTCAAGACCTTCCAATAGTTTTTTTAGATGATGTAATGTCTGTGAGGCGTGTTTAGGATTTTTATGTCTTAATTTAATTTTACTTTTAAACTTAAATGAAATTGTATTTAACGGTTTATTGCCGTTATTTAAAAATACTCGACTGGAACTTCGGACAGGAATAGAAGCTAAACTTATTTAATAAAGTTGTATGTTTAATAAAGTTCGCTACCTTCGTGTGAGAAGTTTGTGCACAATATTTCGGGTAAAATAAAATTTTTGCTGAATTTGTCTCTTCTTTAAGATTGTTTTTCTATTTTGAAAATTTGTTACTTAACTTACACCTTTAGCAAATTTCATCTGTATTCGTTTTTTCTGTGTTAACTGGATTTGAAAATATATAATGATATATAAAATCAGCAAAAGTAAAATATTTTTATCCAAAATCTTCAAAAGTTAAATTACTTGTAACTAACAGAAATGGTTAGGTTATACTGACGATACTTGACAGATGTTTTTTTCATTTCTGCCCCATCTCCCACCAACTCACACCATTTGCTACTATGCCAACAAACTGTACTTGAAAGTGATCCAAAGTGCGCATCCTACTTTACCGTTGGCACTGATGAGGGAGGGTTGAAAAACCTCAGGACGACGGTAGCTCACTGACGGAAAAGATTATCCAGGGGCACTTAAATCATAAACCAAGACCATCACGGCACATCCCGTAAAGAACGGTAGCGTCGGAGTCGACTTCCCTACGACAGCGATACAATTAAGGATAATTTCATGGTGAATTTCCAGCAATGGTTATAACATTATCCTAATTCCGGGGCCAAAAAGGAGGATGATAACATAATTGTGTGAATTACGGCTCGCTGTGGAAGCCCGAGTTGAAAGAAAGGCGTAGAAGAAAGAAGAGAATGGGGTTCATGCTTTCAATTATGTAGTAAAAATCCTTTTATAAAAATTCCACGAGGGAAAAGTGCCCATTACGGTAATAATCGTTGGGCCGATGCAAAGAGACTTAGTAATTTGGCTGTCGATATTTTTCAACCTTTTCCCCCTGATAAGCTATTAGATTGCTCTATTAGGCCGGATACTAATGTCCCTATCGATTTCGGTTATTATCAAGTCATCCTAGCTACGGTCAAAGAAAAAAAATATTCAGCTTGGATCCACTTTGGTTTGTATTAAGAATGTTGTTATTCTCCAAAAATAAATAATTAATAAGGCACCCGACATAAACCAGGCATAGTATGAATCTAATAATATTTATAAAAAACTTGTTTGGATAATTAAATGTTCACAAAAATACGTTTCATGTCCAATACTCCAAATGTTTGTAACAAAAATAAACTGATTAATAATACAAATTATTTTTTCATTAAGCATGTTAATTTGTTTATGACTTGGTATTTTATTTTTTTAAATTAAAATTTACACAACGAATTTTCATTCAAATCAGTTACCAATATAACAGTATTAGAGGAAACGTTAAATTAGCTAGTATATGAAAATTGTTTTCCATACTTGTTAATAATTGTGTTCCATGAAAATTGTTAATAATCGTGGAAGTATAATTTTTTTCACTATTTTTTTTTTATTTTTATTATTTTCTTTATTGAGTAATATTACATTTTGTCATAGTACAGGACATTGGCAATAGTTACAGTTCAATCATACTGTAAATACGGAGAATTTAATTTTTTTTTACATTTATTTATTCATGATATGCAATGTGCTCTAGTAAATGTGCACACAGGAATTAGAATATAAATAAATCAGGAAAATTAAAAGACCAAACTAATAACTTAATATAAATACTTTAAAATAAAATCAATGAATTTTAGCACTGAAGGCTTTCAAGTACTCTAAAGCACTATTTATCACACATGAAAATATAAAATTAAATTAAAACTAATTAAAATAAAATAATGTCAATGATAAATAAAATAATATATTAAGCACAGGCATACCAATTATTATTGATAACAATTATATTCATTTTATGTTTTCCACGTTAAATTTGACTTAAAAGAAAAACTGTTACACGAATGCAAGAAGGAAGGTAATTACAAGACATAAAACAATATAATAATATTATCAACTTACTCAAGACAAATATTGCTTACATATTTATATATTAAAATATCAATTTTAACACTATTAATATTGATTATTTAGATCGACTTCCCAACGAAACATTACGATAAAAAGGACAGAAACAAATATCTATTAATTATTTTTCAAAAATCCATTCTTAACAAATTATTTTCAAGACAAATTAATGTTTTTATAACATAAATAAATTTAAATATTCCCTACAACTGAATATTGATAATAGTTATTCGGTCTCGTTTATTCATAACACTATGAAGACTAAAATTTCTGGCTTATGTTTATTTATTTTATTTCTGTCTAAATAAAACTTTAGACTATATTTATAAAAATAAATATCTTAATAATCCATTATTTTAGAAAAAGTTAAGATAATTTTCTTTTCTTAGTGTGAGAGTCAACGTTTCATATTCATGAAAATTGGCAGGCAATTTGATATGATTGTAAAAAATTTTAAGATTTGTAATCATGTGTATTCCGTTATGTATATATATTCATCCTTAAGACTTTCTTCTTGTCACTATCAACCTAGGATATTTTATTATTATCATCCATATTTCTTTGGTACATGAGTACAATTTATGATTACATAAACTTGGTTACACTGATATTTAGAATTAGTATCCTATAGAATTGATTTCACGTAACTGGTGCCGCCCCGTTTCTCATACTCGATTACTCCACACAGACTAAGCTCCACTATCCTCGACCAGGAGCGAAGAGGCAAATTGGGAGCCATTTCTCCAGAAAGGCGGACTGGAGGCAATTACCACACTGGAAGAACGGTAATGAAGACTGTTACAGATGATAGCAATAGGACAATCCGATTGGTGGAGGCTGGACAAATGGCGGGGATTAGCGGGCGACTTTGTCTTAGTGTCGTCTCTAATTCGGAGCTGTCTCCCCGCCGACTGATAGACCTGCTTGGGGTGGTAGGCGTGGGGGGAGGGGTTTGCGGTGCTAACTGATTTTCGGTCAAGGGCATCTCTTCTGGTTATCCAATCTGTCGAGTCAGCAATAAATAATGATAAAGATACATACAGACAATAATACAAAAAATAATGATTGTACATCAGAACAGGTATTTGGAAGATCCGAATAACCTCCAGAAACAGTTTAGTAGAATTCCAGTTCACGACAAAAATGGCAAAAAGTTCTCTGGCAAGTTATCAAATCTGGCTTCTAATACTTGAAGCTTTTGTTTTGTAATTTTTGAAACATAATCTTTATTTATACATGTTTCTGATATGATAAATTTACTATCTACTAGTGCATCAAGCAAATGTGGTATCAATGAATATATATGATATCAAGGTCGACAGAACAAAAAATAAAACGCTATGAAATGAATATAAATTTCAGAACTAGTAAAAAAAAGAAAAAGTAAAAAAAAATATAATCTAATTATAATGTTTTTCGAAGGGTGTCCTACTGGCATTTGACAACCAGAGAACAAAGCACTCAGCAATAGCTGAAATTTTGAACATTGTATGGGAAATTGAAGAAAAAGGCTGTGATGTAGCTTTCATTTGGACACCATCCCATTATGGAATTAAATGGGCCGAAAAGGCAAATATTCTTTTTCGGAGATCCCGCATTGGCTTTTAAAATTATTTATATTATAGCATTTAACCGATCCCTTTCCCTCCCAATCCCAAAATTTGAATTAATTAAAATATATAAATAATATTGATTTAACTAATAAAATATATATAAAAGGCCTCTGGCCACAGATGCAAAGTACGCATACAGCGTGCATAGCCCTCTTACCTTAAAATGCCCTCGGGCAATAAAAGGAAATAAAAAAATGTATATATAACATTTATATATTGTACTTTGTAATAAAGAAATTCCTGGGGGGTAGGGAAAAAAAATAATAAAATATAAATCTATTTACTATTTTTTTTTAAATAGATGAAGTGTCCAACATGGGTGGTTTGAGATCCCATATATTATCTACATTCAGAGGTATGTGAATTGTTGGCAGTCACAATATTTATTATATTAGATAAATATGTATTTTGGGTAAATATGTGTAAGTAGTTTCTTCTAAATTTATTATTTCTTCAAATTTACTTGTTATACAGGTGGGATACAATTATTCATTTCTATAAATAAATACGAATAAAATTTCATTTAAATTATAATATAAAATAAAAATGTTACATAAATTGCCTTGGGAGCTAAGACTTGTACATTAGTTACAAGTACACATTATTGAAATCATCTCTGTGATATTAACTTAAGAAAATATAGATCTATTCAAATGCAAATTTTGACTGTCATTCAACCGTCAAGCTCATGCATAGTAATGTTTTTCCGTCGAAAATTAGGAGAGAACTTCCGCATAGACCTGGTAGTTTGCTGATAAAACTTCTGTTGGAACAAGTCATTATTACTTTCATTTACCTAAATATGAAATATATAGTCAAGTATTGAGATTGTGAAAATTTTAAAAATGGTCTGTTGATGTGTGTGTTTCTTAACAGTCCAGCTCAAAAACGAAAAGTCGTACGAAAGTGAAATTGCATATTTAAGGTTTTTTTATACTAGGGATGTTACAACAACTTTTTCGTTAAAATCGGCTAAATGGAAGTGGCACTTTATATCATGGACTGAACACATTTTTACGATTTTATCGGAAACGGCTCTAACGATTTTGATGAAATTCATTATATCAGTGTAAAATTAAGCAGTTTTAAATAAAATGTAATTTTTATTCTGATATATGTTCTCTAACAGAGCCTAAATGGCAAATTTTCAATATTAGCTTTCTCTAAAGTTTGTACATATAAGGGTACATATACAAATAAAAATAAACACATTGAAATATAAATAAATATAGCGTCTATAATTTTTACCTTCACTTCCCCTTTGTCTGAAAAAACTTATTTCTGCTAAGAAGAGGGTAGTAAGTGAAAGTTGCAGATTTTTTAAAAATTATTATGTCGCAACATCTGAACAATAGGTTGAGATATATTAAGATCTTTCAACAACTTAAGATCAACAATATATTGAGATCTTTCAAGAGGTTAGCTTTGGAAAGGGTTTTATAAGCGTTCATCATTATAAGCGTTCTTAGTGAATCACTTGGCCTTTGCTCGACGCTCCGTTCTCCTTTTGATACTGGAGAGTGTTTAAAACCTGCCAAGGCTGTAGCAGAGATTAGTATCGGAATATAAAAAGAGCTAATACAATACTACTTCCCAATTAAACCGACTTGGAGGAAGGGCCCGTATTCACGGACACGGAGGACTCATTGAGAGCCGCAGCTATCCCCGGGCCGGGTGCGGCAGCACGCCCGCGGCATCTCCATCTCAATGGGTGGACCGTCCTGCTCCATCCAATTAGCCAGATTGCTACTCTGCGGCTTAGCGCTCGCTCTTGTTTTTCTTGTTGCTGCTGGAAGGAGAGCTTTGTTTATTGATTACTTTGAGGCACTTCGTCACGGTTTAAATGTTTTAAATGGAAGTAAGTCAGTCCTGATGGCCGGTAAGTTAATATCCTGATCCTCGGAACTATTTGAACCATACCTCAATTGAATAAACTTTCAATTTACTTCAGATGAATTATGTACGGTCAGATGAGTGTCCAAAAAGTAATATCTTGACCCTATGCCTACGAGATAAAGGTTACGTTACTTGTAAGGAATGGTCCATCTTACATGTGAAAAAAAATCTATAATTTAATTTCAGACCCGTGAGATATAATTTATAATTGTGAATTAATGGTTAACTGTAGTGAACAATTGAAGAAAAAATTGGTTGGGGTGTAAAAGTGTAAAAATAAATAAATCATATTTATTTTTATTTTTGCCGACGCTTCGGAACAGAGATCAGGCCTTCATTAGGGCTGATCAGACGAAAGATTCCCGCAAGACCAAGATGTATTAATTTCCTTTTCGATTAATTATGAGTTTCTGATCGCAAAATACCAACTACAGAAATCGGGAAACCGAATGCATTCGGATGAATTGAACATCGCAGTCTAGCGATGTTGTTTCAGTCTTGTGTGAGCTTCCGACGCTTTTCAAGAATTAGTCCTAGGTTACGGATTTGTTCGACAAGGGTAAGTTAACTATTGTTATATGACACTGTAGGACAAGATGTAATAGGTTTAAGATGAAGGGTAAATGTGATTTAAAGAAATTTGTTTAGATCCTCCAGTTTTGACACCATTTCTCAATGGCTGCGATGGTTCTGCGATTATCTTCTCAAGTCTTGTTTAGGATTTCCTCTAGCATCAGATTGAGGATAGGTAATGATATTTCGAGTGGTAGAACATTATTTCCTGAGTAAGGAAGGGCTTCTAATACTTTCAATTTTTTAAGATAAACTTTACTTTTCCAGTATTATATAGATTTTTTATAACCCACTACAAAGCCCCTTTGTAAGCTAAGTTGACCCACTCTGCTTTATAGTTAATTTGCATATCATAGCAATAACACAGAAGAATCCTTGGCTGGACTACCCCTACTGTCCAGTGCTAAGCCGCTCAAGCCTGATTAATGTCCTTTGTCTTAGCGCACCCCCCAACGCGGATAGCCTGGAGACCCAACGACCATCCTCGGCAAAGACAATAGTGAGGACCGCTTGACCAGTGGCGTTCCCACCATCGAGGATCCGCCTAAGTAGAACTGTTTATCCCTCCTTTATTATAGCTAATATCCGTTGGCCGGTATAATAGGTGACGCTGTCATCAGTCTCTTAACGGACTTCCGCTAACGGTTGCCTCCTTCCGCGATTTAGATTAGTCATTAGTCGAGGAAGCATATTTAGTTCGCTTACTTAATTTTATTGGAGTAACTGTCCTGATACTTATAAGCAAGACTCAATTGAACCCATATTTATTTTGTATAACTTCTATACTTAATATTTACTCTGAGCTTATTCAAGAAGGTTTTTTTATTAAAGTGTCACTCTCCAACAGGATTTCAGATAAGGATGTTGATTAAAAATAAAATCGGGAATAATAATATTTCACAAACAAAAATTTTACTTGCATTTGGACAAAATTTGGTCGAGTTTACTATGAAGCAATTGTTAATTACATAAATTAAATGTTTGTTTAATTATCTCGTTCTTTTTTAAAAAAGAAAAACACCAAGCTTGAATTACGTACTTTACTGCCGATTATTGATCAATAGTATATATACATTTTTCTGTAGTTCTTGACCTAAGCACCTGATTCATTCCTCTTAAGTACATCTTAATCAACTTCTCAGCAGACCATCATTTAGCTATGCTCTAATTATATTCCTAATTATTAGTGTTTTTATTAGAGTCAATCCATTTGATATCTACTAATTATGGTTGTTGAAAAGAAATATTTATTTTTGTATCCATTTTTATTATATATTTAGAGAGTTGAATACAGGTATTCTCTTGTGTTTTATATACTTATTGTAAGTTTTTTTAAAGTTCTTGATCAATCTATTTTACACTTTTTAAGTGGCTATATATTCACGGTCTTCCAAAAATATATTATTAGTTTTGAAGAATAATGAAAATGAGGGGTATCTGTAGTGTGTTTGAACAATGTTTATTTTAAAAAGATTTAATGACTGACGAGATTGATAGTGTGTCATTCGTTTCCTGTTTGAGATTTTTAGTCCATATTCTCCCTTGATCTCAATACAATTGCAAGACACCGTCCCCTCCTCGATGATACAAGATGATAATCGTCAGAGAGCTCATCGTAGCTGTGCCTCGGGAAGACACACAATTACGCAAGGTAGCTTTTGCCTTTAGATTTCCTAACCTAATCTCATGGTCCATTGCCCAGGAGTCCCTCCCTCGACCATTACTCCTTTGTTATTATTGTTGTTGTTGATGTTGCTGGCTCTCATTAGGGAATCTGTGCCCTGTTCCGTCAGTTGGATCACGCATTAGTCGCGATCTGTCGCAATTACTGGTAATCTCGACCGGTTCGTTGGCCCATCGCTATTGTTGTCAGTGAAAAATGGGTGCCGGTACCTTCAGCTAATGGTCTCGCCTCAATGAAAACTACATATCGGGGCCTGTTCCCAGCCCTACATCTTGCGGCAGTTGTTTCCGTCATTAGAAAGTTACTGCGCTTCAGGACTTTTACATTTATTTTATAACCTAAATAAAGCTGTTTAGTTTGAACAGCTTAAACCCTCCCATGCAAGAGCACACATCTAGAAAATCTGCCAAATGTGATGTAAGAACTGTCCATATGTTTTTATTAACATTTTACCATCTCTTAGCAGAAAGTAGACGAAACTTCAAGCTATTTAAAATAGGTGCTCATGAATATTATTTTACTTGAAATTTAATACTTTTAATAATTACCATATGATCACTTTTCCATTCCTATATATTATTTCTAAAAGGTGTTTTTTTGTCGGTACGTTGTAACTTCGTCAATTCTTCATTAAATCCAATGATTAACCACTCATTTTGAAGGTATATTCTTCTCCTTCATATGATAAACAGTCCTTTCCCCCAAAAATTTCTGGAAAAAAAGTTATGAAAAAAAAAAAACTTTATTTGCGAATAACTCAAAAAGTGTGCATTTCTTGATTATACCCATGCTAATTAGAAAGATTACTATTACCTACATAACAAAACAAAATCGGACAATTATTAACAAAGATACAGTGCATTGGTTTTGGTATACTTAATAATGTCTTCCTGTTTAAAGATATTGGATTTAGGAGTAGAATAGTCTACTACATTTTTTTTTCCTGGCTGATATACTAACTTTATTATTTCTTAAAGACATTTGATTATTCTTACATTTTATTTTTTTTAATAATTTAGAAAATCCTATGATTGGGGCATTATTTTGTCTTATTACTTTTATTGTCTTTCCAGTCAGCGTTTAAAAATAGGTCCTAGCAAATCAATTTGTACGAATATTTTGGTCTATTATGATTAATGGAATATTGTAATCGGCCAAGGAAAAAATATTAATTCCTTCCTTACATAATACATAGGAACTCCTTATTTCCATATTGTTGCTATTTCTTCACCAAACAAAATTGTCTGCGAATTATCCGCACGTGCCAAACACTATTTGTATAATGCACTACTATAAAATATCAATTAAAAACTTGAAGCTTCAAAGGTTCAGATTAAAGGTGATAAAAATATGAAATATGAAAACATATGGTAGATGCACGGGTGAGATGAGGGGAGGAGGGAGGGAGAATTTCAGGCTGCAATCTTTGAAATAGATTAATATATTTTTTTTCATGGGTTCTTATTTTTTTCTGTGAGTGACCTGCGCTAAATACTTATAAAATTTCATATGTTCTCTTATTTAAATATTATATATATATATATATATACAGCCGCAGTCATAGAAATTGTATTACCTATTTTTTATTAATTGTTATGTTAATAAAGTTGATTCCGTTTAATGTTTTTGTTTCTCTTTTCTTACAATGTTTCTCAATTCAGTTTTAACTAATGCCAAGATGATAGCTATAATTATGACCTGTATCAAAAACTGTCCTCGTATAAAAATATTAAAATTGTAACGTTACATGAAGTAAAGGAATTTTCACGGAAAATAGTTAGGAGGACCAATCAACGGTAGTCAGTTTTGAAAAAAAAAAAAATCATGGAGAATCATGGAGTCAAAGAAAGAAACCGCGAGGAGAAAAAACAAACGAACAACTTGACCACTTGAAGGTGCTATTGTTTACAGAATATCGTTTCATAAGTGGCAAAGAAATATCTGGAGATCTTGCAGAGAGCAATCTGATAAATAAAATAAAATGTTTACTGGGTGATGCACTACCTATGACCGCGACGATATATATAGTAGTGTAGAAAAATATATCACACATAATTATTATTTTTCTATTATTTCCTTTTTCTTTTAGCTGACCTCTAAGTCCATTTAAACATCATTATATATACTTTTTTTTTCTTCCAGAACAGTGATGATAAATAAAAAAAAACCTGAAAATTAATATGCTTATTCAGATTTAATTTTAAACGTTTTTTCCCCCAATTGTAATATGATTGTGATATTCATGTTAGCCCTCACCTATTAAATTTTTATCACATAATATATCTTAACATACAAAATATACCTTCTCATTGAGTCAATAATCTCATAGCTTTCACCTAAAAAATATTTTGATACTCTTTGATTTATTTTTAAAAATATGCTAAACCGTTGTAAAAACTGACTTCACTCCAACCAAAAAAGGAAACATTGTTTTATAGCTAAGATATAAAGAAAAATAATTTAACCACCATTTATCATGCATTGTGCAAGAATATTTTAGGTGCTCACCAGGAAGATTTCCTCAAGAAATTTGTAATTTAATTTTTATTTAAATATAGGTTTTCGATATTCAAATTTAAATATCGATTAATCGATATATTTTCCTAAAATCTTTAGCACACAATTTATTTTGATTCGCTTTATTATTTTTATTTTAAAGTAGTCATTTATTTCCATTGGTCTTGTTCTTAGGAATTTATTTTTCAATTTCATTTATCCTGTATTTCACAATATAAAGAATACTTATAATGAAGTATAGGAATTTTTCTATAGATTCTTTTTTTTTTTTTTTACTTTTGTCGTAACCGATAGATAGCGATAGGTATCTATTAGCAATGTTGGGGTACTATTGTATTAGGTCGGTGCTACTGGGAGCGGATATGGTCAGCTACAAAAGATATCTGTTAAAAAGAAAAGTGTAGAGCTTTGAAAAGCTGCTAACAGCCGTAAGGTGGTGCCTTTGTAGTTTAGAGTGTAGGAGCTATTCAAGTAGCTAGCGTATTGTATTCTCCTCTGTCTCCTTCAAACATCATTCCCTCTCTTTCTCTAACATATAAATTATCGATGCTGACTTTTATTAGAAATTCGAAACCTTATTTTAAGATTTTTTGAACACCGGAACTGTGACATAGATAGATAGATAGAAAAATAACTTTATTCTGAGACACAGGCCCTTTGAGAATAACCAAATAGAACAAAATTAAAAGATTACATCTGGCCAAAATAAAATCAATAGAAAAAAAGAAACAATGTAAACAAAAATATAAGGTAAATATTCTATATACAAAACAAACGAAACTATATACAAAACAATTAATACTATGACAAGACACTTGAAGCTAGTTGTGGTCATACATTTTTTTTAAATATTAAAGACTGATATAGTATTGTGTAGTTCATGATTTAATGACCATCTTAAGATAAGTTTTATTCTACCTGATTTTTAATTGAAAGTTTTGTAGGAAGAATTTATATATATATATATACACACACACACACACATTTTACCATTAATTAAACAAAACACTTGGCTTTTTAAGTTTTGAAACCCCTGTTCTATAGTATTTTTAGTTAATACTCAGATCAAGTTATTTTATATATTATTTTATATATTATTTCAAATATTAGAGTTTGGATAAAATTTTTATGATTTTCTATCCGATTTTGACTTTGTCAGATCCAATAAACCTCTAACTTAGAAACCGCCATCGTTTTCATTAAGCTGCTCATTATGAAAAATTTACAATTTGAGAAGAAAATATATGAATTTAATTGAAGAATAAATATAGAGTTGCAACGGCTAATGAAAGAATAGAAGATATTAAAGGATAATAAAAATGACCTTGGGATAGAAGGAAGTAAGCATACTGGGAAATAAAAATGGAAAACCCGTCAGACCAGTGTCCTACAATGAAGGAATTAAAAAATTAAGAAGGGACATTAGGGGGCCCTGTGTCCTGCCTGCGTGCTCTGGGACAAAGGGATGGAGAGCCCTTCGAAAGGGAGTAGCCTCGCCTATGTGGTGGGAACTGAGCCCTACCAAATGGATTAATGTTTATATTTAAATCTTTCTTATAAATTAAGTATCTGCTTATTTACTCCAAACTTTAAAATGTATCATGTTGAAACAATTTTACTATAATTTCCCATTAATATATTAGGAATGCTATAACAACTTAATACATAAAACAATTAAATAAAAATGTATACATTAAATAAAAGTTATATAGTTTTATTCTCTATTTTTTATTTTTATAATTATTATATATTTCATAATCAATATTAAAAAGTCAATATCTAAAAACAAGGGGTTGAAATCGATAAAAAATATTTTCTAAAAATCATATGATAATTATTATATTTTATTTTTAATTTAAAAATCATGCCTGATTTTAAAATAAACATTTAAATACTTAATGTTTATTTATTCAATTAAAAATCATGATAACTCACTGAGTGGTACGGTTCTACAAAAATAATAACGATTAAGTTGTGATCAGAAAATAAAAATCATCTTTTACACCAATGTGTATGTATACGTTATCAATGTACACATTTTTTAATATTAAATTTTTGAAATCGCTTTAATTGTACACTTACGTGCAATATGTATTTTAGATTCAAAATGTATCATAGGAATTCCAAAAAAAATATATTTCTGATTTTAAAAAGTATTACTCAAGGATTATTGTTATTATTAATTGTAAATTTTTGTTTAAAATAATGATTAGGATACGGTTTTTATTATTTATGATAAAAAATAAGGCTCCTTCTTAATAAAAATCTTGAAATGATTTTTAGAAATTCCTGATAAAAATTTTGATCAGATTTGGTTTTTATTTTTATTTTTTTAATTATAGATTTTAAACTCTGCTAAAAACTAAAACTAATTTATAAACTGTAAATTTTATCTTTTTTAAATTATCATTTCACATTTCTAATTAAATGACAGAAAGAAAAAAGATGTATGTAACATAAATTTGAGATATTTAGTTTTGAGATATTTAGCCTTAAAGTTGTCTTGATGGTATTATTTTGTAAATATCTTTCTAGAAATATGGAGGTTAGAAATTTATTCTAGAA